CTGGTCCTTAGGACTCAGGGACTCACACCAGTGATTTCTCAGGCCTTTAGCCTCACACTGAGAATTACAGGCATGTGCTGCCATGCCTGCCTGTCTTCCTCCCTCCCTCCCTCCCTCCCTCCCTCCTGTAGCCCTAGTTGGCCTGGAACATGCTCTGGTCTTGAATTTGTGACAATCCTCCCATTTCTGCCCCTGACTATGGGACTTATGAATGTGTGTCACCAAACTAAGCAAATAATTTTTTTTCTTATTAGTATTTAAATATAATTTTGAGAGTTTTTTTTGAGTCAGAGTCTCCTTGTAGCCCCAGCTGGCCTGGAACTCACTATGTAGACCAGGCTAGCCTCTACCTCACAGAGATCCACCTACATTTGCCTCCAGAGTGTTGGGATTAAAAGCTTACACTACCATACCCCATTAAATATAATATTTCTCTATTCTTCGAAAATTTCATACATGTATACAATGTATTTTGATCATATCCCCCACTTCCCACCCCCAACTTCCCCTGAAGTGCCCCCAACACATCCCTCTCCCAATTCATGTCCCTTTTTTAAAATTTTATTTTATTATTTTTACTTTATGTGTATGCATGTGTTGCCTGCATGTAGGTAAGTGCACCCATGTCGTGCAATGTCCTCAGAGGACAGAAGAGACTGTCAGATCCCCTGGAACTGGAGTTATAGACAGTTGTTAGCTGCCATGTGGGTGCTGGGATTCAAACCTGGGTCTTCTGCAAGAACAGTGTTCTTAACTGCTAAGCCATCTCTCCAGCACCCATGTCCCTTTTTTAATTCTTGTAATGACTCACTGAGTTCAGTTAGGGTTGCTGGATGCACATAGGTGTAGTACCATCCCCTGGAGCATCGGCAATCTACCGTGGCCACGCCCCTAAAGAAGAAAGACTCTCCCTCCCTTGGCAGCCATCAGCTGTCAGTAACTCCTGGAGCTGGAGTTACAGGCAGTTGTGAATCACCTAACATGGGTGCTGGGAACTGAACTCGGGTCCTCTGCAAGAGCAGCACACCTGATCAAAATATTGAGCTGATGAAACCTTTTGTGCCTCAGTGGCAGCATATTGACCTTCACCCTTAAGCATGTCAGCTGTCACATCAACATTAGCTTGAGCATTTCTTTCTTCATCATAGTATTTAGACTTAAAAAGGAGCCACTGTCCTGGGGACAGAGCAGCCTGGGCGAGGTGTTTAAAGTCCCAAGCAGTGACTAATTTATGGCTAAGCTGATCAAAGATTGCCGTGGTAAAAGGACCATGCATACCCATTTCCATCACGGCCTTCAGTGTTTCAAAGCCAAAAGGACTATGCATTCTGAGTTCGGGGCTGTCAGCTGCTGCAGGGCCGGCTGGAATGTGAACTGGAAAGAACTGAGGGGAAGGTTCGCTAGAGAAACTGTCTCCCGGGAGTAGATTTTGAAACATGGGAAGGAGAGAGTCAGGGTCAGAAGCAGAGGGTGAGGTATAAGAAGCATATGCCATGGGGGTGCTGAGGAAGGAGGAGAGGAGGGGAGAGATCCCAAAGTGGTGGGCGACTCCCCCTTTCTAAGAGAATTAAAGGTGGTGGTTGCATGGCAGGAGAGAGCACAGAGACAGAAGGGAGCATGAGTGGTGGGAGGGGAATCTGAGGGGGGAGGTACCCCTTCTTTAGCATGATTGGAGGAAGGCAGCCAACCAGTGGGCGCTCCTCCTTTGTGACAGCAGTGCTGTTCATTTTTTCTTACTTTTTTCCATGTTTCTAAACTACTGGTTCCTTCTTTCAGGAATGGAGGATTGCAATCCAACACACTATCTAAAAAGGCCTTAATCGGAGCTCCATATACTTAATAGCTCTTGGTTTCTGCATGCATTTAGAATCCATGATTACTCCTTACCTATAAACTGTGTTAAGGAGATCCGACTGGTCGAAGGGGGAGGATTACACCGTCCTGAACGAGGGAGATCTGAGACGGTCCGTGTTACAGGTGCCGGTTATCGAGAGACCCAAGTGTGCCTTGCCCAGAGGGGAACCTCGCTCTCATGATGGGTGGCGATACTGACCAGCAACAGAGTCTTGGACCCTGGGACTTATGTCTTTACAACAAGCCATTTATCACAAAATTCAAGTGGTTTTTAGACATTGCAAGGAACTGGCAGTCACATGGGATATAGCAGTCACACACAAAGATTTAGGATACAAAGAAACAGGACATTTAGTCTGTTAGTTGGTGCCAGAAAGATGCTTAAACTTTTACTCAAGGTTACCAATGCCCATCTGGTAATTTATTGGCCACAATGTTTTCTTTTTTAGGGCTAAAAGCATGGTAAACTTTTAGCTTATAGTTCAGGAGTAAACCTTTTACCTGGCCTAATCTCTTAGTTAATGGCAGCTGAGTTATTTGTTCAGCACAGGGAGATGAGCTAAGGGTTGTTGACCAAGACACTTTCCCACAGAGCAAAGAGCCTGCACTTATGACCAGGCTGCTTTCCTGTCAGCCTCACAGTAAGACAGGGATTAACAAAGCTACTGTGTTCAGCTACTGCAGTCTCATCTCACCCTAGGGCCCGGCATCCTGGTTTCCGACACTCTGCCTCCTTCCCCCTTCCTCTCTCTTATAGTACTAGAGGTTGATCCAGGCCTTGTGCACACTAGACAAGCACTCTCCCACTGACCTGTACCCTCTACTTCCTCCTTTATCTTAGCAGAGAAAATTCTGACATGAATATCATTCATTGTTCATATTTTATCCACTTATTTAAGCATTTCTGTTAGTCAGCTTTCCTTATCCTGACAAAATAACCAATATGATCAACTTTTTTTTTTATTTCTTTTTTTGTTTTTTGAGACAGGGTCTCACTACTAGGTAGCCCTGGTTGGCTTGGAACTCATTATGTAGATCAGGCTGGCCTTGAATTTGCAGAAATCAGACTGCCCCTGCTGCCCAAGTGCTGGGATTAAAGATGCCCAGCTATGATTTTTTACGTTTTTAAGTTTACATTTGTGTGTGTGTGTGAATGTGTGTTGTGTGGAGGACAACCTGCAGGAGTCAGTCCTCTCCTTCTACCATCTACCATGTGAGTCCCAGTAATCAAACTTTGGTCATCAGGCTTGGTAGCAAGTGCCTTTACCTGCTGAGCCCTCATGCTAGCCCCAAGAGAATCAATTTTGTGACTTTTATTTATGTGTGGAGGCCAGAGGGCAATTTGTAGGAGTCAGTTCTTTTCTCTGTGGGTTCCAGACTTGAACTCAGGTCATCAGGCTTGGCAGCAATTGTCTTTACTGTTGAGCCATCTGGCCAGCCCAATTATCAACTTTAATTTTTTTAAGGTTATTTCTGGATTTTACTTGCTATCAAGGTAAACAAAATAATGTGATAAACTTCATAACAGACCACACCTCCTGAAACTGACAAACAGAGAACAGAACACAGGTCATGGCGAGTGGGGGTGAGGCACACACACCATGGTGTACATGTGGAGGCCAGAGGACAACTTACAGAAGTTGATTCACTTCTTCTACCATATGGGTTCAGGGGATCAAATTCAGGTTGTCAGGCTTATTGGTAGGCATCGTTACCTGCTCTGTCATCTTATGTCCCCCGCCATGTTTTTCTAATTCTATTTCTTTTAATTATTTATTTAATAACCACATACTTAGAAGAAGAATTTCATTACAACAGCATTGACATATTCAATAACAATTTCCAGAGCTAAAATGCATCTCTTTCAAAACTTGTTGCGAATTTTTAGGTTTACAGTTGAATTATTACAGTTATACAATATTGTACTCAGTATAAACCCTATAAGACATAAAATTAAATGAGATTTTAACCTTTAAAAAAGATCTCCATTTTATTATTAAAATACACAGTTTCATACAGAAACTGTATGCAATTGACATTAAGATGTTTGCACACACATTTCTAATCTCTATATATCTGATTATTACTAGTTACAGTCGGTTACTTTCTGAGCTCCTTGGCATCTGAGCATGGATATAAAGTCATCAGGTAGATTTCAATGGTAATGTTTTTCACAT